CCAGAAGCCCGCCCTCCATGTGTGCTCGATGGGGGGGCGCCTGACGCTAGCACTAGCGAGCTAGCAATCGCACAGACCTCATGCGCTCGTACTTGGTGTTTCTGCAAGCTCTGTGTTGAGGAAGTTAAAGTATTATAGACCTCTAATACAGTCGCAGTAAACAACCTGGTTATGAAAGTTGGGGAGGCCAGCCTATCCTGCCTGCCTGGGCCATAACACAAAGATATGTGCCTGGCACCCTGTTCCAAATCCTTACGTTTTGAGTGGTGGGGGACAAGGCCGACCTGTAGCCAACAATCGCCTGCGTAGGACAAACCCACTTCATCAAAAAGGTGGACGAAGGAGCCTGCTACCTGGCCAATAGAGGGATGGATTTGCTCCGCTAGTACTGACAACGATGGGGAATGCATCCCCCCCCTCCTTCTTGAAGGAGACCACGGCTGCGTTGCCTGTGCGGAGCAGGACTCTGTGGTCTTGAACTACGGGTAGAAAGCGTGGTATTGCTAAGTACACTGCTCTCAGTTCGAGCCGGTTGATATGGTAATCCCGAAACTAATGTGGGGGCCATATCCTTGGGCTTGTTGGTCCAATAGATGCGCTCCCCAACCCTGGGGACCCAAATTCGAATAATTCGAAGGAGATGGAAACTCACTGGGTGCATCGGTATGTGCAGGTAGGCCCTGCATAAGTATAGTAGGGCTAGCTAGTAGAAACGGTGGATGGAGAGGAGAGCCCTCAATGGTGTCTCCATGTGGAATCGATCAAGGAGCACGTACTGATTCAGTCTGCTTAGGTCCAGAACTGGATGCCCGCCACTTGTAGATTTGGTACTACGAACACATTTGGGTAGAAGCCTGGACTTAGTTCCGGCTGATGTACCCTGTGTATGGCGCCTTTTCCCAGCAAACTGCTACTTCCTGTCTGATTGAATCCCCTGGCAGTGCCCAACAGGGGAGACACTGACGGGGGAAATGGAGATTTCAGCGGTATCCCGTAACAGGATGTCACCACCTGGAAAGGTCCAGGGATCGGTCACCCGCTGTCTTCAAACCGGACTACCCCTGCGCAATCTGTGTACGACAGGGATATGTGGCCATGGGTTCGGCAGTTACGAGGGGGTGGTGGTGTGCTCCCTTCCCCATGAGGTGAGTTCCCCAAGGCCTGAACTAGTCACTAAGTTGTGACCTGGCCACTCGCCGAACACATGCCTGTCCCCCCCCTCCCCAGTTGCAGAGGTGAGCGTCAAACACGATTCCCCCACTGCCGGGTAGACGTTCGCCCAGGGAGGGTGAAGAGCCACCACCTGGCTCTTTCCTCCCTGGGGGCACGCCACTACTCTTCCCTCCCATGGAAGGGTATGAGCGCTTGCCTCCTGGCTGACTGGCTAGCGGACGACGCCCTAGGGTGTTATGTTTTCTGTGCTTGGGGTGCCCTCCGCTTGCCCTTGGCAGAGTCAACTGGTTAGCAGATTTGATCTGAACCCTCTGGTTCATTGCATTCTGAAGCTCCGAGACTGTACCCACCATTCCCTGAACAAAGAGGGTGGAGGATGTCCAGTCTGCGTCACTGAGGTGGAGACGTACCCCCACTCAGCTTGTCGGCGAAAACATGTGCGTCTAAGGCTGCGTCTCGTAGCACAGTAGTGGCCCCGGCCAAGAGAGCCAGGTGACACTAGGGGGTGTCGCACGTACATTGTAGATGTGCGGTGGCCCACCAGTAAAAATTACGCCTGGTCTAGGAGGCTGGTGCGTTCTGCCTCCAAAGTCTCCAGAATCTTGGGCACGCACAATAATGCGTTCAAGCAACTCTGCCCTCAGGGCTGGATGGGTCGTCTTCGATTGGCAAGAACGCCCATGGAACGCCCTTTGCCCGGTTTGCCAAATTCGTGGTACCGGGGTCTGGGGAAGGAGCCTTGGAATCTGGTTGGGGGCGTTTTGGTCTCATCCCACGCTATGGGGTCTGATCCTGAAACCACACCGACCGGGTAGCATTTGGTCCAGCGGGAAGTGTTGCCTAATGTTTTCCCCACCCGGGGGCCTTAAGCGCTACATCCTCCGCAGCTGACCAACGCCTCCAATCAGAACCATTTGCGTGCTCTACGCCCCACTCCGCACTCGGACGGACAGGAAGAGACGTGCCGACAGGGTTGCTTTGGATCCTGAAGCTTGTGATCCCATAAGCGTTGAAGCAACCTTAGGTGGTCGCCTTAGGATCAATTTTGAGGGTATCTACATCGTGTTTCTTCCTGCTTGCCCACCGAGGGGACACGGTCTGCCAGGGACGCAATTGCCCCGACAGTCCTTCGACCAAAGCCCTCAACTCGGAGGCAAACCCGGCGTCGTGCGAGGAAGGGTCTACAAAGGGACCTGCAATGGGCCCCATAGGAGGAAAGCCTCCAGGGGCACAGCCTCACTGCAGCCGGTAAAATCGGATAAACCACCGTGAGGATGCCCTCCGATCAGCGGGGGAGACTGAGAAAAATATCGGTACCTCCACCATCGGGCCTCCTACTCGACGTCCCGGTACATGAAGCACCAGTAGCCGAGTGTGAGGACTTTCCACTCATGCAAAATACGCAACTCACTTTAACCGATTTGTTTACTGGATGCGTGACCTTGCTATGACACAGTCAGTCTCAGCGATTTTGATGGTTCTGAAAGAAAATCTCAGACCTCAGAACTCCAGTGAAAAAACACACACCTTCATGCAAAAACCCCGAACCCCACACGCAGCTACGACAAAGTATCTCGGATGCGGGTTCTATGCTGGTAAATTCTGAATATAACCACAGCACAGTCGACTCGAAACACGAGGAGACCGAAAAGAAAACGGCAGCGAGCCCTGGTGCTGTCATTACATTTATATATTACTAAATACATTGTAAATAAAAGACGACATGCATGAGGGAAAAACGAAATACAGTTGTAACCGGTGCCGCCGCAAAACCAGCAAGTGGTTACGTAGTGGCGCTGGGTTTTAATTTCTTTGTTCTGAAAAATACTACACACAAAGGGGAAAACGACACAAGGGTAAAAATAGTCATTTTGACTGACCGGAGTCTATGGTGGGTAATTGAATGTAGTGAATTGGTTGAATTATTGAGCTGATTTTGAATCATCATAATATATAATTTCAAATAGAATAAAAACCTTATAGCTGTTTGAATGGGGAATTGATTCAGCAAGTTTTTACCATAATAATCTCTAATCAGAAATCAATCCATACATGAATGTTCTGAAAAAGTTGCACACATATCAAATGACATCACAGACATGAAGCTGCACAAAATCTTTCCTATGTGAGCAGATCCTTATGGAGACATGGAGCATAAATCATGTACAGATGGCAGTCTACTTTAGAGTTGAGAGCTTTCCTGCAGCGCTAACAGTTGTGAGTATAGAAGTTAGTACATCTAAAAATAATGTACACATGAAAATCAATAGGTCTTGCTTTTCTACAGAATTTACATGAAATCTACAAAAGTGTATCTGAGGAATGAGTAGAAAACTTAAAAAAAAAAAGAAATTGCAACCAGTCAGCCATTTCACTACAGTGACATGAACAATAACCAACAAGACATGATATGTCATGTCATAGCCCCCGCTCAGAAAAAAATTTAAAAACTTGTAATGAACTGGGTTTGTGTCAGAGTGAATTAATTCATTATGAGCTGTATTAAAATTCCGTTATTAATTGTTCAGAATTGATGTGTTACAATTTTAGGG